TCAAAAAGCAACGAGAAATTGCAACAAATTTTTATATATCACAAAAAACAAAATTACATACGTATCTTTATATATGTTTTATTATCTTGACACCGCTTTTTAGACTAAAGTATGAATTTTAAATTGCAAATGGTACTGAAGATGTTGAGATCGAAACATTAACTTTTTTTGTTATTAAATGAGTGGTCGATGGTATAAAGAATAGAATTTTTAAAACTTCGTACACTTTTATGTTCCTTCCATAATAATATCAATTTTTTTCATTATCGATTAGTCAATTTTCGATATTGAGAAAAAAACTGAAGGACGCAGATTTCCACACTCCATCAGTGAAAATATTAAATTATTGAATTACTTGCGCGTTACTCAAAATGAAATAATTGACGTGGATATGAGACGGAAAGATCAATATACAGCATAGTTCAGTAAACAAGTCAATTATCTAACTCTCATATATGGGTACGTAGTGGCGCCAGTGATGATGTAATCCAATTTTACATCGCTCTGAGAATTTATCAGAAAAAAACGTCACGTTATGCAGCGTTACGTTTTCTGTTTATTTATTGAAATTGTCTGCTTACGAAAGCGATCATTGATAAAGTAATTAATTTCATTTAATACGATTGATTCATTCTTGACTCTCCACTATTTTCTTTTCTTTAGCTAAGGATATCTGATTAAATAATGGCCTTTTCGTTTTTTTAAATATTCAATCTTACAAATATTTTCTAAAGATATTAAAGTATAAGAATCACTTAAATAATTATAATTTTGCTGTACTTGTAATTAGAATTAACCCAAAACGACTCGTCACGTGCATAGTTGGAAATTTTTTTTTTTTTTTTTAGTTAAAATTAACATTTCATTCAAATTTCCGTTCAATTCCATTCAAATTTTCGTAATTAACATAAGATGAACATATTAGAAAGTAATAGAAATATTATGTTACACAAACATTAAGTAAAAAATTTAATACAAAAAATGTAACATTAATATAAAATTTGTAAATTGATTGATTTCTGGAAGCATGTTTTTTTAAATAAAATTAACATTGATGATGTGTTAAATTATCACATTATTTTATTCATTCAATTAAAAATTTATAAAACATTATTTTTGTGTTATTTATTCACTTGTTCATAAATTGTTATTTCGACACAAAGAAATGTTGAATATCCAGATTAACATAAAATATTTAAATAACATAATTAAATTGTGTTAAATTAATATTCAAGTATATTAAAAATGCAACACAAAATTTTAACGAGACTTCTGAATGGATCGAGATTTCTAAACACAAAATGTTTTTTATTACGAATCATAAAGTTAGTTGTGTGTACTACGAATTAATACTTGGAAACTTATGAGTAACTGCGTCACGTCTGGACAATAAAAAGCGCAATGTACTCAGACTATCGTTTTATTTACTCGTTTTCGCGGTACATCATGCGCGCGAAATACATAGAACGAATATATACTGAATGAATTCAAGGTCGGCGCGATTCTCATCATCGCACTCGCCTCCTCTAACGTCAGACACTCTGTAAACGCATGTTTCAGAATTTCTCTTTGCAAAAATAATTGCGTTTCGTATTTTAAACCCATATTGCGTCACGCGCGGGTCACGCCTTCACTTCAAGAAGCGACTTTAAATTCAGATTCTCAGTAACTTGTTTTTGATACTTCGCGATGTTACTACAATATATCTCTTCCAAGCACGTGTCGGTCATTTATATTTCAAGAATACCAGCTTCTTAATCGATATGATATATATTTAAATCTGTTACAGCCGCTCTAAATCTATTCTTTTTCTATTTCAGTCTGTCGGATTCTCGACACGTGTCGAGTGAAAATTAAATCTCGCTCAAACAAGACGTTACGTTGAAAAATTTCACTAATTAAATTATCTCTATTTAATCATTTTGGAAACTAAATTCTAGATAATTTATTACGAGATGTGAATATATGTGTTTTTCCTCGTCGTCGAAATAACATTCGCAAGAAATACGAGGATAAATTTAGCACTTTTTCGCTGTAATTAATATTTCGTTAGGTTTTAAAATCGACTCGATAAAAAACCGTTTGACAGCGTTTCTTTTCAATCGTTAAATTTTTGTTGCATCGTGGCACCGATGGATGAGTAGATTAACAAAAATCGATTCGCGTCGCAGTGAAAATAAACGACACCCGGACGAGCGAAACACGAGGGCAGGAATTGGGGCACTAATTGTCGAAAACTTCCTTCGCCCTAAAATATCCAGGCCCTTCGATAATCTCGGAACGCGTTGTCGCCAAAGATACAGCAGAAGAGGAAGCGCCCGAACTTGTCTGTGCGCGACCTAATTAGATAAAACTTGGTCGATACTTGAGAGAATTTTTGCTTGCACGCCGGTATCAATTTTCGCTCTAATTAAACGTTCCCGATTTTACAGGGCCAATTATCACGTTCGCACGGTACCCCCAAACGAGCCTGAAAATCGTGCCCCAGCGAAACATTTTCCAACGCGGAAATTTTCCCGCCTTTTTACGATCACCCTCACCGAGTCGACCGTTAACTTTAACCGTAGTTTAACTGATCGTTTGTCCCTCGCTCCGGAATTAGACGGGGGAGACGAGGGATCGTTCCGAACTAAGGTAAAGTTAATTTCCGTGCGAGATTAATCTCAACTATAATTTGCAGTCCCGTTAAAAATGTCTTCGAAAGTTCGGAAGTCAAAAGCTGACGTCAATTTCGCTAGAAATTATTGCGACGTCGAAACACACGCCCCAGCCCCCCCCCCCCAAATTATCTGTTTCTAATTTCACCAAGACTTGGCAGTGTTTTCGATTAGAGTTTTCGCTGACCGACGTCAATTCGAACGTCGAAGTTGTACGTCGAAGAACGCCCGCGCGAGACTTGACTTGTGTTTACAGCGTTCATCTCGCGCGTTTCAATTCTAGAACGTAATTATTGTACCGGATTTTAAGCGATGACGTTGTCGAGATGTGTCCCATGCGCGCGCGCGCGCGTCCCGCTTTAATCTACGCCGTCGATCCTCCTCCACTGTTATGCACTTGAAACGGTGTCCTTGACCTACGTCTCGCGAAAGAGAGGATTGTCGAGTGCGATACTTTAGGGGCCTAATCTGTAAAGGGTCCTCTACATAGAAATAGATGATCGTGGAGTTCTAAGTTGTAGGAAACCAATCAATCAAATATAAGGAGGATATCGATTAGAACTGGTCAATTTCCTACGACTTCTATGTAAAAGTCGTAGGAACTCTTAACTCTTAACAACTCTAACGATATCGTTAAATTATCGTTGAGTAGCTTTTTAGTGTATACAAAATCTGCGCAATGACAATATAACGATATTGTTGCAGTCGTTAAGAGTTACAGAATAGGATCCTCAATAGATGTTGTTCTTTTTGGTTCAACTTTTGCACCAGTTTATCTTTCTTCTTTTTCTTCTTTCCTTCTGAAGAGAAAAGGAAGAAGGATGAACTGATGTGAAAGTTCAGCTTTAAAAAGAACAGGCTTATTACTTCATCTTAGGGCGATATTCATAATCCGTTCTTATTTCAAGACTGTCTTAAGTTATGTTTTAAGACGCTAATACAGCCTTCTGATTGATCCGCGGCTTCTTAAGATGGTCTTGAATATATAAGATCTGACTAAATGAATACTAAAAATGGTGAAAACCAAGTTTGGAAAAACAATAACATCTCCAGTGGTCTTATTTTTGTTCAGAAGTTTCAAATCCGAAGTTGATTCGACGCGACAGAATTAATTCTCCAACAACCGTTGGATTCAAAATGAAAATTTTTGGACGATTATACAATGTTTACAGAAAATATCAAGATTTTGCTAAAGTATCTAAAAATTAAGCTAGGAACAGATCCGAAAATAATTTTGTTAAATCATAATAATTATATAAGAAGATGAATGATGAATAATGTTGTGAAACTTTTAATATTCTAGGAATCGGTTTAAGCGTCTCCATTATTTTGATGGTCCAAAATTATATTTAGACCCGTAAAATTTGGTTAAATTTGTAGATACTTCAAAGAAATCGTCCTTTCCATATATCAATCTCTCTCTCTCTCTCTCTCTCTCTCTCAGAGGTTCTCTTGCATTCTGTACTTCAAACGCGACGTTTTAAACTTTAGAACTTAGGTGTAGGTTTTCATAACTGTAATTAAAGGCGGGATGTATCTATTTAGCGTAGAACACGAGTAGGCATTTATTTTCGTGAGAAATACTGGAGCAAGTAATTTTACGTGAAATTATACGCGTGCGAATTTATTCGCGATGTGATCACCGTGCGTATTTTTTCCCTTGTGTGCGAATCACTTTTTCCTTTTGATAATTTTGCAATTAACATGACAACAATACACCAGGCTCAATTGCGCTTACGGAAATATCTGCCATCCCTCATCCCTTGAACGTCACTTTCACGCACGTCGGATGTAAATCCCCATATAACCCTGAATGTTATCGCAGTGAAACACGTGGATAACAGCGGATTCACGTCAAGGAAATCTGGACTGAATAGAGGAACGCATGGCGGATCAGCAGAAATAAGAGATGTTGGCAACTTTTGCGTAAATTAAGTACGTAGAGTGTTATCGAAAAACTCATCGCGTCAGCGGATTTCAAAACGAAGCTCGAGAAACATTACGTAAATGAGAATAGACGCATGATATTTTGATCCAAGCGATCTGCTGATCGTATGATTCAGCTCGCTCGTTGCGAACCTACTTCAATAAAGCAAGCTCGTTTTACTTGCGTTTCTTGCAATCGCAGCAAGTTGAGTTGAATCTTCGGAGACGGCGAGATCAAAAGAAAAATAAAGTTGCGAAACGCAACTGAAAGAGCGAGATCCGTAACGCCGTAATATAATAATATAATAGAGCGAAAACGCCGGTCGCCGGTCTCGTTGTAAGATCGTTGTACGATCATGCGAGGAGAATCGAGAGACGAGATACGAGAGACGTGGAAGAGGGAGAATAAATACTCACGAGAATACAAGGCGGTCATGAACAGCGCGAGCCAGGACAGCTGATTCTCCATAAGTGTTTTCATGTTCCGGGCTGCTCTTCGTCGTCAAATCTTATTGGTATGCCGCACGTCGATACGTCGAGTTCGTTGCCGAACGAGAGGAAGGTGTACGTTCTTTAAAACTCTAAAGTGCCGTAATCGGGAACGCGCACGAAGAGAATGGAAGAGACGGAATCAAATGGAATGGAAGATAGAAAGTAATCGAGTAGAGCAGAGTGCCAAAGTAGTGCGTGTGTAGTTAGTTTACTCTCTCGGCGCTCTCTTTCACCCACGACTCACACCCGTTACGACGTGCGTATCACACGACCGATCGTGCACCACTGACGGACGACTCACGGCATCGGGTCGGCGATGACGACGACGACGAGAGCGGAGAGAACGCGCGCCGAGTTTCGAAGACGCGAGCGCGCATGCGTGGATCGCTCACGCCACCGATCCCGCGAAACTGTCCGCCGTCTCCTTTCTTCTCTCTCTCTCTCTCTCTCTCTCTCTCTCTCTCTCTCTCTCTCTCTCTCTCTCTCTTTCCTTTTCACTCTTTCTCACTCTTACTTGCTCTCGGATCTCGCCACTGTGATCGGGACGTCTTTTCGCGTCATCGTTATGCACCTCCGTCGCGCCCGCTGGCGCCGACGTCGTTACGACGCTCGTTCAACTGCCGTGAGATTTTATTAATCGAACTCTTACGAGTCAAAGCGGCCGCGGGACTAGAGAAAGATGAGAGAGAGAGAGAGAGAGAGAGAGAGAGAGAGAGAGAGAGAGAGGGAGAGAGATGTTTCGCACTTTCCGCAATATAATGTTTAATAAGACTATTTAATAGAAACTTTTAAATATCATTTCCATAATTTACAATTATATTTCAAAAGTAAAAATTTTACTTTCTTCAATACGACCGTTAAAAACTTGCTTCTCTTATATGTAAATGAAACTCGTGATTGTGAATGAAATTAAAAGTAATAATTTAACTGAACATTAAGTTACAGTTAGTTGTTATATTTAAATGTAATGAACAAATGTAATGAGTTTATATTAAATTTACGAAATTTAATGTACTTTTAATAGAATTTTATGAAAAGTACATCAAATTTCATAAATTTTCATGAAAGATACATTAAATTTTATGTACAATACATATACCAAATATACTTTTCCGTTATAAATACATTAAATTTAATGTAATGTCGTAAAATTAAATTCAAACCGTGTAACTTGGAAGTATATTAAATTTCATGAGACTTTCAACAGTGTATCTCTGACAAACGTTGGTAAACATCAAAGAAATAATGGTAATCCTATCTCTTGAGTTAAATTACATTTGTTATTTTTAACTTTCAAGTGCGTCAAAATCAATTCATTTTCATGATTGCAATGTAAAACAACATCTACAGTAATATATGCCTAATAAATCATAATTTGAATCAAACTTTATACACTTCCTTAAATTAAATTATTTAATTAAAAATAAGTCAAAGTGAACATAATTCGACATTATAAATTCGATATTGAAGTATAAATAATAAGAATTTAAAGTCTCACTTCCATGAAGTTGTAGAAGAAAAATATATTCAAAGGAATCTTTTCAGTTTGATTAGGATCACTTTGAAATCTGAGAATTTATCGATTATAGAGAAAATAACTAGGAAGCTTGATTCTTGTATTTTAGATTATATGACACATTTGAACTATACTTTCTTTCGTGCAATTCGCAATATTTTTGTGGAATATAAATTTGTTCCTTTTTTTGGTTCAATTGTACAGGTGTTGAAAAATAAGTAAAAAAAAAGGGGAGTGAATTCTGTACGTTAGTTTGTACAGACGATACACATCGTGTCGCGGCACATCTAGAATAGATAGAATTTCGAAAAACCATTTTCGAATCCATTCCCTGGGACGGAAGATCGCGGGATAGAAAAGAGTCTTGCTCGATTTTCATTAAAAGTTTCTTAGCGTTACCGGTATGTATGGCGAGTTTTCCAACTTCGCCGGCGCCATTCGCGGAAACTCCTTTCTATAAAGGAAGCAGTAAAAAGCTTCGTTTTCGCTTTACTGTTTCGCCGAAAGCAGTTTGTACGCGTTTCAATATATGTACCTGACTTTCATAATCGTCACATAAATTGCATCACAAAGCATCCAGACATTTTACTCCTAAATATCCGCCGAGTAGGAGAATAATTGTGACTACAGATACATCTCTCTCTCTCTCTCTCTCTCTCTCTCTCTCTCTCTCTCTCTCTATTTATCTCTTTCTTTGTCGAATCATCCGGATTAATAATCTTGAAATTGAGAATTTGCATTAAAGCGTTCTCCATCGAGGATATTGAATGTTATATTCACCGACACTATAAAAGAACATCGATCGCATATCTATACAGAAAATATTGATACTTGAATAATGAAAATAAATTTAAAAAATGAAATAAGAAATTAAAATTATATACGAGATTATCCATTGGAGGCTACATGATCTAGCTCTAAGTCATTAATTCAGACTAGAAAGGGGTAACGACGATGTCTTTCCAAAGGATACCGCTCGCGGATTCACGATCTTTGAGATTGAAATCCATGCAAATGGGGTGGTTCACGGTTCTACGTTGAACTATTTTCTAGGGTTAGAAAGAGAGAGAGAGAGAGAGAGAGAGAGAGAGAGAGAGAAATAAGTAAATAAAATGACGAAGCCCCGACAAGGCAGTAAAATGTCGTCGCCAGGACGGTGGTCGCCGAATGACGCACGTCGATGAAGTATCGTAACGCCTCGGGGATGATCTTTACAAAAATAGGGCAAAGATCAAAGAGAAGTAAGGTCAAGCAGTCGTCAGATAAATCCTTGAATGTATAGAAACTAGTATTACTCTTTAGGAAATTAAATTAATGTTGATCATTATGACTAATAATGATCAACATAATATTTTGTATAATAATAACAGTATTATTATGAACAAAAATAATGATTCGGGACTATCATTTGATGACTAATGTCTCGGGAATCAATAGATATATTTCTCTCATAGACATTAGATATATTTCTCTCTATCGATTTCAAATTTGAAATTCTTATTAAATTGATTGAAGGTACAAATTTCTTTTCATTACGAACGGTAAATCCTAATTTATGTAATTTTGCTTTCTTATCTATTATTAATTAAAATGTTTAAAAACCCGATCTGATATATACCGCTAATAGTATAATTTTTTAAACATTTAATGAGAGATCAATAAAATTTCATGTCGTATTTGTATTTTTATTTTAATGTCCGTCATTAATGATACTCTTATTCACAATTTATTTAAAAAAAATATTTATAGAAGAAATATGGTACAAATAATCTAAAAGAGCTAATTTACCCATAAAATAGTTTAGAAAAAGCTACAATAAGCATTCTAAAAAAGATGTTACAAAACTTACATAAAAATGTAAAAAGTTGATCCTTTGCGAATAAAATTAAAATAGAGGAAAACGTTAGAAAAATTTAATAATTATGCCACATAATATCACACTTTCCGTTTACCCCACAAATAACTGTATCCTTATCTCATAATCTGACCCAGTTTCAGCGTTCCTACATAAATGCTTTGACAGTTTAATAAAAATATTTCAGATTTAATTTTTTTGTCCTCTAAAAAATAGCACTATGAATTTAACATGCAGTATCTATATAAGTCTTACTGTTAATATTAACTTATCAACACAGTAAGAATTATACAGTAAGAATACCTTGCGGTATCTGTATATAAATTCTTATTGTGTTGATGCTAATATTAGTAGTGAGAATTATATAGATACTGCATGTTAAATTCATACCACTATTTTTTTTTTAAATTCGGTGTTAAGTTCACGACATTTTTTTTAGAACATAGACATTTCAGCAAAATATTATTCACATCCTATGAATATATATATATATA